CTGCTGGTGGGCTGTGTATTTATCTGCTGGTTTCTTAAAAAGCCGAATGTGGGATCAGAACGCACAGGGCACGAAATCCGGGGAAGACTCTCCCGTGGGTTCCCTGGATATTGTCCGTGCTTTCTGAAGCAGGGTGTAGGCAGCCAGCAGTGGCGACGAAGGAGTCACCACCGGCGTGTGCAGGTTTTGGTCGTGATGTTGTAGTGATGGCATTTACAATTCCTGTGTACAGGTTGAGGAATTTCTTGCAAACAACAGGATTTTACTGTCTTGTAAGAAAGGTTGAGGGAGCTTAGAGTAACATTTTAAATGCTGGTAGTTTTTAGATACTTGCATTTTTTCATGACACGGATAACTAGAGAAGCTCCACTGAATCATACTTTTTAATTTTTATTATTGGTTTTATTTTTCTTTAGTAATGCAGGAGGCGAAAAGAAGTAGTACAATGTTTTTGTCTAATCTAAAATTTGCTTCTGTATTTTGCAGGATTCGTATAGGAAACAGGTTGTTATTGACGGAGAGACGTGCTTGTTAGACATTCTGGACACTGCGGGACAGGAAGAGTATAGTGCCATGCGTGATCAGTACATGAGAACTGGGGAGGGATTCCTCTGTGTTTTTGCCATTAACAACAGTAAATCGTTTGCTGATATTAACCTTTACAGGTATGGTCTAGGTCTTTACCACAGGGAGGGAAAACTGGAAAAGGCATCAGACCCATTTGCTTTTAGACCCAGTGAAGACTAAATAATAGACAAATGTTAAATCTTCTTCCAGAAGGTTTTTCAGACTTATCTGCATTCTGTGTCAGTATGTTAGTAGTCAGTTGAGAGTGGGACGGTCATCTGTGGTGCAGTGTTAATCAAGTGATATTTAGAGCATACAGAAAATGGTTAAGAAGGCAAACGTGTCAGAATGGAGTTATACGTGGACCAGAAGATGGAGTGTGTGACGTTATTAGACAGTGCTATAGGTTAAAACCCATGAGGTCCTGTCTGGCTTTAATAGATATTTTTGTAGCACAGAGTTGTTTGACTATTGAGCTAAAACAGCTTTTATATTTAGAAAATAGTTCCTAGCTTTTTTTTTTTTTTTAATTTGTCTTTTTAAAGAGAACAGATCAAGAGAGTGAAAGATTCAGATGATGTGCCAATGGTGCTAGTTGGGAATAAGTGTGATTTGCCCACAAGAACGGTAGACACAAAACAGGCTCAAGAATTAGCAAAAAGCTACGGAATCCCCTTCATAGAGACATCTGCTAAAACAAGACAGGTAAGATGCTTCCATTCTTGGTCTGACTTCTTCCTGTGTGCTCACAGTAGAATGGCCTAGCATTTTCCCATGTACTCTTTTCTTAATTATAGCAGTAAGCATTTTTTTAATCCATCTGCAATGTTTAGCTTTTTATTTCCCCACTCGCTCTTAACTTGAAAGAGGTCTGTTTTGATCACAGGACACAAATCGCGTCAGACTTGTATTGAGTTTCTTTCAAGTGGATGATGTTGGTAAGAGGAAGAGAGCTTCGTGTGCTCTTGCTGAGAAGTGGTCAGACTGTGTGGCTAGTCATCCCAGACCTGTTCGGTTTTCTTGACTTCTTAATGAAGGGCGATTATAAGATGACATTTACAGCAAGAATTCCGCAGACTGGACTAACAGACTTCAGAGCTGCATTGAGTATGGTGGCTCTGTCCAGTAAGCCAGTGTTCTACCTACATCAGCGTAGAATGAAGCAGAAAAAGGTGCAATTAATAATCAGGAGCCAGAAAATTCTAAGTATTCTAAACCAGACGTGATTAGTCAAGAAGTAGACTGTTTCCTGCATGAGGCCTCTCTGCAGTTACAATTTACTTTGTTTGTTTTAAGGCTGTTACTTTGGAGGTTGGCCTCAGGGGAGTTAAGAGTGTAAGTGGAGAGTTTTGGATGCAGGTACTAGTTTCTTCCTCTTATGAGCTATGGTTTAAGTTGCCTACTATTCCTCCTGTAGAAGTATGTCTTTCAAATATGTTGAGGGAATCTGTGATGGAAAGAACAGTGATCTCAGAAGCCTCAGGAAAGACAGCACTTTATCTGGATTATTTGCATTCAGGGTGTGGAAGACGCTTTTTACACACTGGTGAGAGAGATCCGTCAGTACCGGATGAAAAAGCTCAACAGCAATGAGGATGGGAATCAAGGCTGTATGGGATTGTCTTGCATTGTGATGTGATAAGGTGAGCTGTAATTTAAATTTTTCATTGCCTTCTTGTCTGTCTTTCAGTTGTCAGTAAGCATGGCTTAGAAATACTAGCTGTTATAGGTGGGTGTTTCCCTGTTATACAAGCCATCGATACCCAGAGATTTAGGTCCTACAATTAATGCATTTCTCCAAATTTTATTTTATTTTTTTTTGCCGTGTGAGTAGGGAGCAAAGCTTAAGTAAAAGAATTTTATTCACAGCAGCCTTTTGGCTCTGACCTGTGGATTTCCACTGAACTGATAATTGTGTGATTTTTCTGTGTCATTCTTGCCAGTGTCTCCTTCCTTTGGGAAAGCATTTAGACTATTTGGAGAATGTGTAATTTCTGTCTTGTACACAAGAAGCACCTGAACTAGAAAGAGGAGTGTGCACAGTTCTGCAGTTGCCATTTGCTGATTATTGACTTCTGAGCAGCTTATCTTGAGCTGTGTTCCTCTAGAATATGCACTGTTGGAAGATTAACCAGATAAAATTATGGGAGTAATGAAACCTATAAGATCCTCAACTGAATGAAATTCTTCTCAAGTGTTACCCAGAAGATGTTGCTGCTTACTGTAAGAACAGGTAGACCAGTTCGGGACCTGTGCAGTGCAACAGCGTGGTACGTGCATTGCAAGGTTGTATGGCAGCTAATTACAAATGCCTTTGTGTTCCAGATGCCAAGGACACATGGTTGAGATGTAGCTGCCGGACGAGTCTCAATGCTACTGTGTTGTGTCTCATGCTGATGCCCTGCAGTATTTTGGTGCCAGCGACCGGAATCTTGGTACCAGTTAATTAGCACAAGGTCCTTTTCTGTGCTCCATCCGAAGAAAGCATCTGTGGCATCTACCTCCTTGCTCAGCTAACAGAGCAGCTGCATCTCTTGATATGCTGGGATTCTTTTCTCACTGTGTTATCTGGGTTCAAGAAGAAAACCAGTCACAAGAAGAGTGAACTATAGAGACAATGCTGTGAAAAAGATGACACTTTACCTCTAGAGTAAAAACTAGAAGTGATGTTTGTCCCCTTCCTGTTGGATTCTGGCTTCCTGTGCTGTCAGAGAAGTGGCACTAGCCGTTGCTTGGCAGCTAATATCAGAAAAGGTTTTGCCACCATGAAATGCTCCTGTCACGTGTCAGGTTGGTAGGCACTTCCTCTGCACCTGCACAGTGTATCGGCAACATCTCTTTTGTGCCAGGAGTACCACTTAACTGATCCTTCATTCTCTGTAATAAAAAGGAAATATCTTTCCTAACTTAAGTGCCTGTTTGCTAAGAAGATTTGAAGTCCCGTGGGTTGAGGAAGGACCCCAAGAACTGGAATTTCTTGGGACCTCATTGTCTTCAGCAGGCATGTCCTATGTGGGTGATCTCTTTGCCTGACAGGATACTGAAACAGGAATTTGTAGGCTGGAAGATCCAGCAGGCACATATAAGACTCTTGAACAGGGGAGGGGGACATACTGCATCTGTTTTTTGCTTTCTTTCTAGGTAGAACTGTTTATACTGGTTTTCTGCAGCATTCAGATGTCTTCCTTTTTCAAGTGGGACCAAATTAGTCAGCTGTTCATTTTTAACATGAACTGCCAACATTTATGGGTAGCTTCTCAGTAATTAATCCAGTAACTGGAGGTTAGTTAGTTTGGACAGCTATTATTCAACTCTGTCTGTAACTTGTAAATTATTTTATCCTGAATTATCTTCTTACCACCGGACAGTAAACACAGTATTGTCAAAATGTCTCCCTGTGAAATGGAGTTGAACAATCTCCTTGTCAGGGAAGGATTGTGGGATTTCAGATTGACTGCATTCGGTGCAGTGTTTATCACAGACTTAGTATGTCCAGCCTAAGGGCAGAAGGCAAAGAACTATGACAGAAAACTGAGCTAGCTTCTGATTGCAGCATGCTTGCAAAATGAGGAAGGAAGTGAGTTCAGTGATGACTACACAGAAAGTGTATGATACGCTGACGGGAATCCTGGGCTTGTTCTAACAGCCTCATCATATGAGAGAATTACCGCATAAGCTGTGCGAGTTCCTCCTAGAAAAGAACATTGTCACCTCATATAATCAGGATGTACAAGTGTAATCGCTGTTGCAAAACCTACCGGTGTTCCTTGGAATATGGTGTCCATCCCTACTTGTGCTGCTGGTACTGGGTTCTGTTCTGTGTGGTCAGACAGCGTATCCCACAGCAACGCTGAGTTCCCAGTTACTGTCAGGTGGAAGAATGGTCAGCCTTCAGCCAACAGAGGGAGCGTTCAGTCAGTCTGCTGAACTAGCATGAGCAGAGAAATTGCGTGGGCTTAGTTTCAGTTTGCTGGTGTCAGATTCATACACCTTGATTTAGAGTTCTCAATTAGAAATCGGTAAATACCGAGAGAAGAAATTGTTCCTTCTAATATCGCTTCTTCGCTACTTACCTTAATTCTCTTCTTGTAGTGAAGAGGATCCATCTGCCTCACATTTCCTTTTTCTGTGATAATCCTTATAAGTATATTTTTGCAATTTATTTTACCTTTGACCCATGTGACACTAATAAGAATTAAACCCCCAATACTTTTTACATAAACCATTTTCCAGCAGCATACACAGTGGTGGGCAGCATTATTCGAGTTTGAAGAAGATCTCAGGCCTGCAAGTTAAACATGACAGTTCCCATCGCTGCAAGCTGTCACGTCTGTAATCAGCAAGCAGTGTTTTTCTTCTGTTTGGTGTAAGAAGTTATTTGTAAAAGCATTCTTTGAGCACTGTGGTGGAAGGTGACTGCTTCTAAGGGGATGTGTGATACGCTGTTGTCCCCTCAATAAAATTACATGTGGAAAACAATAGCTTTTGGGATACGCATCTGGTCACATGGACTAAACATTTTGTAAGGACAACAAATGTGGATTTTGCAGTAAGTTTGAACGGTGAGACCTTGTTATCCAAGTCCATGGATGTTTTTTGATTGTTGTTTCTCTACATTGCACAGCGTGTTCTAGCTGTCCTTAAAAATGTACTGGCTGCAACTTCAGAAGTTATGAATTCTTGGAGTTGTGTGAGAACTGGAAAATGCATCTACAGTCTCTTCAGTATTTCCTTCCTCTTGGGCTCTATAAAATCTTAAAAGGGAAGCAGATCTGGTAAGGATAGGTCAGTGTATATTTCACCTTTGGAACCTTAGAAGGGGGACACGTCAACTCTTAGGATGCTGCAGAGCTGACCTGCACGTGTTGTGCTCCCATATGCTTTATTTTAGTTTCAAATCTAGAGAGTGATACAAAATCAATGTTGTACTAGTAAGAAGTAAATGATTGTACTTTGTTTCCAGCTGTCTTTATAAGAGAACCTTGATTTTGGCGGCAACTGAGAGAGAGCTGTGGAAAGACAAAACCCCCAAGATCTTTTGAGAAAATTATTTAGAAGATAAGCACAGAAGTTTTTGCACAAGACAGGTCTTTGGGAAAGTGGTTTTGTAGATACAGTCCAAGTGTTGTTATTTGGAATGGCCAGCACAACACCGAGTTTCTGCCAAGCTGACTTTACTATTCTCACTGGGAAGAACGGGCATAAACAACTTTGAGGTAAAATACAGAAAAAGGGTAAAGCTGTTGTTCAAAAATTACAATTGCCAATAATTGTAAGAAATTATTCTGTTATTATTGACTGAGAACAGTTGTCTAACGAGATAACAGAACTCTGTGGCTTTACTGTTAGCATCCCCACTCCATGGTCTGGTTCAAAGAGGTCTCAAATTTGTGCGAAAAAATAGTCATCAGCAGGACTTGGGATAGCAACTGCGATGGATAGCAACCATCATCGGTTTAGTACAGTTCAGTGACTTAGAATTGATGTCAAGCAACTTCAGGCTGATGGGGGAAGGAGAGGGCTGGGAGTTGGAACTGCATTCTGACACTACATGTGGTGCTCCCTTACTCCACAAGCCCTGAGTGACTGTTGGTGTATCACCTCCAGGATGGCAGGGAACATCTTAGGATCTGGACTTTTTATCCAAGGGCTAATTTGTTGTTATTTTGTATAATTATTTGCTTTCAATAATGCATCTCTTTGGGTTTGAAGTAAATTATTTTGCTTCTTAAAGAACTTTTTTAAGGAATAAACTTTGAATTATTTGGTTGTTTCTTTTGTGGTGGTGATCAGAGCATGGGATCTCCAACTGGCTTACAGAAAGCTTATCACAATGCTGTCTGCGTTCTCTATGGGATCTAGATTTACTCAAATTGTCACTTCTCTAATTTGGCATGAACAGCTGTATCAGGTATGTTCACTATAGCATGAATAACCAGCGAGAGTGGCTTTGAGACGTACCATAGGCTTGTTCCAGAGTACAGTTTTAATTTCACTTCACCAGTTTGTGCCATGCATCTTGCATTAATGTTAAGCCTCTATATTTGGAGTGGGGTCCCTCATAATATTTTTGCTGACTTGGCCCTTGGAAAGGATGCTTGCTACGTAAAAAAAAAAATAGAAAAAAAAATAGAAGGAGAGAAGTTTGTTTACTTGGTATTCCAAGAGTGAAATCAGCTATAAGGGTTATTGCTGTGTCCAAATCATGCTGTTAGGCTTTTGAGTTACTTAATTCAGTCTTCTAAAATACATCCCTGTTGGCTTTCCTCCTGCAATAATGCAAATTGTGCTGGACTACACAGTAAGCATTTAAGTTGTTTCCCTTAAGACCTTGTGTTAGGCCTCTGGAACGTGGAGTCCAACCTATTTTCTGTGCAAGGAACTTAAGAATAGCCTCCTAGGAAGAGGAGTATAAAACTCATTGCACCGTGTAGCTGCAGTAGTCGCTGCCTGTTTCAAAAGGAGAGATTGAGAATATGAGTACAGATGGGTGCCTAAAAGCCAGGGTTTTCTGGGCTTATTAGGAAAGCTTTCCTCCAATATGATTATCTGTAACAATCCATTCCAAATCAGTCCAACCTAGTTGGCACCTGGAGGACTTACTGACTTGTGTTGCATGTTGGAACAGAGGCTGATTCAAACAGAGGAACCTGTAGGGAATGATTAAGAGCAATGTGGGGAGCGAAGAACTTGCTGAGGCTCTTTCTAGAGCGAGGTGCTGTTGATCAAAGGCACAGCACATCAAGGAGTGCGCTTGTGAGTTGCCACATTACTCCCTCTCTGTTAGTACTTTTCTTCAAGAATTGAAACCATTTTCTAGCAAAACTTGCCTCTAGGCTTCTATTTGGACAGCCACCCCTGTGATGTGAGCTCTGCTAGGCAAACTAGAGGAAGAACCTGCTAAATACCCAACGCTGCCACATTTCTGGTGTGTTTGGCCATTTAACTAGACCTGGGTGAAAGGAAGGCAGCTCAGAAATAAAAGTGTGAGGCTTTAGAGCCACTCTCAAGCTTCTGGGTGTGAATCACTTGCCAGCTGAAAAGGAGTGAGAGGGTGGCTTGTTTGTATTCAGTACTTCAATTTAAAGAAGCTGTAGATCTAACTTTAGCACAGCATACCCAAGCTTTACTCATATTTCTACCATGACCCCAACTAAATTGACCCCGTGATTTAAAAAGCTGGGGGATCAAGAGACCTGTTGAGGAAGATGACCTCTGCACTCTAAAGGTTATTTTTGGTTTCAAATGTGAATCCCAAGATCTCAATATAGTCAGAAAGGTTAGGGGCAGATACAGTCCCTGTGGGAGCACTAACAAGCAGCAAATAGTTTTTATTGACATTATATGAAATAGTTAAACAATAACGTGGTGTAGGAACTCACAAACTAGGGAATGAGTAAGACCAAGAATAATTCAGACACTGAAGACTGCTATCAGCGTGAGAGAAGAGACCAGATACTAGAAATCAAGACTAACAGCATCCCAGCTTTGCGCTTCTGGCTGCACTTCTGCATGTTGTGAGGGGAAAATGAACGTTATTGGGGAGTATCTAGGACGTGGGGCTAAAACTCCCTGAATTCTGGAAAAATTCTTAATTGTAACCCAGCATGTTTTGAAGTTGTGCACATCAAGTAATGATCTTCTAGAGACAGTTTGTGGAAATTGTCTCAGCTGGGGATGCTGTGCCAGGTCTCAGCTCATCTGACTTCCATGACTAGTGCCACAAGCTTCCTATGGACAAAATCTATGACTTGTTATTTCTAGCTCTATATCTAATGTAAGTAGCTCTTTCACTTACTCCACCCTTCTTCTGGGACAAGGCCTTCTCATAGCTGGTCTTACGAAAAATAGCATAGGAAGCCCTTACATGCATGTATAATTCCAAACAATGTTGTCTTCCAGGGATGCTACGTCTTCTGTTCCCTTCAGTGTTACGACCAAAGTCACAAGGCTGTGCTGACGAGAGCCTGACTGCTTTGCTTGACTTGTCCTGGTTTCAGTGGAGTTTTTCAACTCGGTCAAGAAATGAAGTACAAACAGGAAAAGATTCTGTTTCAAATCAGAGCTATTGTATCCTTCTGACCTGTTTAGGTTTACTGCTTCCCACCAGGAAGCTGAGTCACAAGCTCAGAGTTACCCTGGCGACGGGCAGGCCATGCCAAAATCTGGCCATTTTTTACAGACAGGAGCTGTTTTCCAACTTCATATGGGAGATCTGAAGTAGGTTTGAGGAGACCTTAAAGGACTGGGTACAGCCCTCAATGCCTGTATACTAGGAACAATCTACTTAAGCTGAAAAGTACTTCCAAACTGATACCCTGCTCTGCTAGATCCAAGCCACCGTGTGTAGCTTAAGAAAGGAGTTTCTTGCCACACCTTGGATTGTACTGCGTGCTGGTCTCTGTAAGAGTTGCCTTGGTTGTGGCTCACCGCGTGCAGAACTGAGTATTACCTTATTATCATGATACAGCGTTTTATAAAGGCAGTTTTTTAAAAGCTCAGGAGCAAAATAGAGCTTCTTGTACTTTTCTTGTTTGATTCAGCTGGGAAGATGCAAGGACTTGTGTGCAACTCTGGTTGCTAAACTCCAGTCTTCCGTGTAAAACCCTCTCTCAGGAAAAATTTCTTTGAATAGCAGTTGGCAAGAGCACATCATTTGTACTTATCCACAGCTTCTGTTCTGATGAAAACCAGCTCTGTCTGTGCCTTAGGGATTTCTTTTAAACAATTGGTTCAGCACAGAATGTATCAGTTTTAGCCTCTCTTAAAAGACTGATTTCCATAGTCTAGAAAGGTGCAACTGTCCTTAGAAGTAGGAATCTGGACAGAAAACAGGTGAAACTCTACTAAATGTAAAATGAAAGCCTAACTAAAAAAAAAAAAAAAAAAAAAAAAAGTTAAATTTGAGCCCTAGTTTCACCTGTTTCAATGCAAGTGCCTGTGGTTGCACTTTAAATAGTTTTATAGTTGATCTCTGTTCTCCTTTTAGAGCAGGGGAGTCTAATTACAGGGAAGGAAAAGCAGTAAAATTAGTGTTAGGCTGTTGTGCAGTCAGTCAGCTACTTGTGATCTGTTACCTGAGGCTCTGAAAACACTGCAAAGATGTCACAGCTGAGAATTCCAGGTAGGTCTGAAAGAAAGTAGTGAGACCAGGAGCTGCCGGGCAGGCTTGTTAGCCTGCAGCCTCTGAGATTTTGGTAGTGTGGTATCTGCAGTCCAGGGGACCTTGCTGGGGACTTCAAGCATTTTACTTTCTGCTTGGAGACGTTTTTGGATAATGCAGGAAAGAAATGAGGTTATTGTTTAAATCTTGCTCTGTCTGTACTGAAGAAGAATATTGTCCCTCCTGCGTTGTAATGTGTCCTGTAATTATACTGTTAAGTTATTCTGGAAGGGGTCAGAGGGATTTCAGAACCCTCTGGTCAACCTGGCCACACTCAAAAGATGTGGGGTGCTGCAGTCCCACAGGGATGGAGAAGACAAGCTGGGCAGCAGGAGTAGGGCCAGCGGGGCTTTGCAGAACGGTACAGAGGAACATGTGACTGCCATTACAGAGCCCTGAGGAATGTCAGCACCAAAGAGTTTTGGTAAGAGCACATTTAGATTTGCAGTGCTGTATGTGAAGCTATAGTATTAAAGCCAGGCCCTGCAACATCAGTGGGAGTTTTTTAACTTATAATTTTTATCCAGTAAAGAGATGAAGAGTTAAAGTAGGCATTTCTGGGATGTTTGGTTTGCAAATGAATACACGAAGTTCGAATGCCAGGACAGTATGTTCTGCAGGCTGGGCTTTGGGAAGTCAGCAGCAGGTGATTTGTGATGCCAGAGCTCCAGTGTGAATTTTCTGCATCAGATGGAAAGGGTGTGAGTTGCTCCCCCAAAATGTTGATGCCACACTGTATGTCCAGGAGTGAAGATCTGTGGAACTGCAGTGTCTCAGCTGTCTGATCCTGTTAGTGAATACGTGGAGATGTGACCACAGGCAGCAGGAGGATGAAACTTAGCATCTTTGAAATGACCATTCATCCTGATCTTCACAAAGGATGGCAAGTCATGGACAGTAAATAGCAAAACAGCTCCGAGTCACTAAAATATTTGCTTTCTTGTTCAGGCAGAAGAATGCTCTCCTTCCGTCTTAAGTTGTTCCTATGCTCTTCTGCATCCCTGCACCTGGATGTAGGGATAGGGAGAGACCTTCCAAGACAGCTCAGTCTTATTAGATAACTAGGTATCTCTTGTTTGCTTGTAGTGTGGACTGAGGTGATCTAGGTTCTGGGAAATGCTGTTCCCTTTGGACAGCTGCAGGGGGACTCAGACAGCTGTAAGCAGAAGCTCTGCCAAAAAGCCTCCGCTTGGATGGCATTTGCAGTATGGTTCATTTATGTGCACACCACTGAGGCTGTACTGAGGAACTGCCAGCACTGAACTCGCATCTTCGTGTTGTACGAAGTGGCAAGTGCTCTTCTTTCTTCTGTAAGCGGAAGGCTTTGGCTAAACTTGTACTTTACTAATCTCTTTTTAAACACTGGTGGGATGACAAAAAGGTCTTAGATTTTGAAGGGTTGATCACATCTACTTTTATTTTGTTTCTGTTTATCTCAAACAGCAGAAGACAAAGGTGAGTATTCCTACGCATTTTATATGCTCTGCTCTGTTACTGCCTAGACATGATCACTGGAAACAGTTACATGATCATGGTGATCTTTCAGCAGTTCAAGAAGATGCTATTTCTCAGTGCCAGCTGTGCCCTTCGCTGTTCCGTGGAATGATTCCAGCTCTTCAGTCCTTCGATATATGAAGCTGCTGTTTGTTAAATATTGTCCTAGCACCTCCAAGCTCTTGCTTAGGAGAAACTTCTAGTGAAGTTATTTCCTGTGTCAGGAGGCAAAACATTTTGCAATTTCTCTTGCACCTGTTCACACTTTAGTTGGGATTTTTGCTGTTGTTTTTTTCCTTGTTTTTGTGATATTACCCTGCTGAGAAATGGACTTAGTGCCAGAATCTTCCCATATGTTTGTAGCGCAGCCCTTTTACCCTACCATGTAACAGCATAGAAAGCAAGCCCCTGCGTTACGCCCTCCTCACCCCCCCCCCCACCAACCCCAAACTAGGGCCTTTG